CACAAGTCCTTTTTTCCTGGGGATTGCTGGCTTAAAACTTTTTAATGGCAGTTGTGCATAATATGAATATATATGACGTGTGATATCTCGCACATCAGATAATACAGAACTAATATATTTGCATGTTACTGTGGGGACTCCTACAACCTGTGAAAGGCCCCGCACTCCACGTGGTGCAACACCTGTGCCCAGAGCGCCATGTCTCAGCAGTGCTGCGTCTTCCTTGCCCCGCAAAACAAAGCCCAGTCACACTGTTTGCTAAATGACGAAGTCTGTTGTCCCAAGTGTTGTCTCAGTCTGCGTGCGAGTCCTTATTAAAATAGAGAAGGAGAGAGGCGATTGAAGAGGAGTTGTTTTCACTGGATTAAATGGTTTCTCTGCAAGTCAATGAATATGTAATGATGTCTAACGAAACCGGCCAGTGAGTTCTGTGCTCTGGTCTGCAGGCCCTATATTAAAAACCTTTTCTGCTGAGCAAAACCACAGTACAGAGACGGGCAGGAAAAAGAGGGGCAGAATAGGGGGAAGGAAGAAGGGATACAATCTTGAATGCACCTCCAAGATTAAGCCAGACATTCTCTCTCAGTCAATAGACGAAAAGTATTTACTCAAGTACTAAGAGAGAGAGAGAGAGAGAGAGATGGTGGTGGTTGGTTCTTTTCTGAAGCAAGGGTGGGGGGTGAATTTACATTTTTTTAAACTGCTTTGGAAATATTGTTTCTGATAAGCAGTTATGCCAATAAAGTAATTGAATTGAATGATAGAGAAGGAGCGACGGGGAGAGAAAGAACCTTCTTCCACCATGGTTGTTAAAGATATTTTTCCCTTAGTATACCCGATAAAACATTGATTGTTGCAGTTAGTTGACCCGTAAAATTTGGGGGTTAGTTTTCTCCTCAGAGCTGAGCATATAATTATGCAAATAGTGATCTGACAGTGATCCGCCGGAGGAGTGCTGAAGGAGAGAGAGAGTGTGTTATGTGTGTGTGAGGGGGGCTTGTCAGAGGGGTGACATTCCAACTTTGTCTAATGCCTAGTTCCTTTGGATGGAGTTCATCTTCTGCAGGGATGGCGTGCATTTCAGAGTGGGCCGGAGCAAGCAAGCGTGACAGCAACAACCTAAAAGTAAAAATTGAAATATCAGACTGTGGCAGCACCGGGGGATCCCCAACTTTTCATGTCAAGGAAACCCCAACCGTCGCAACAACTCCTCCCCAAACCTTTACAGCACAGACCCCCCATTTGGCAGGATTTAATCCTAAAGCTCCGCCGCTGATGTCACTTTCTGTTGCAGATATGTATGATTCAGTGTGGAGCTGTCTGTATTTGTCAGCACCGTGAGCTGGCAACAATAGCTGGGAGAGTGAAACCTACAATCAAATCAGTCATACCTATTATCCATCCACACACTGTGCTAACTTCTAGCGAGTAAAACGACAAAACGAATCAGGCGGTTTCTAGCTGGAGCTGGGGGTCCCTCCTTGGAGGGGACTTTTAGGAACCACCGGGAGCCTAAACTGGTACCCCATGGAGAGTTATCGCTGCCTTTAGAAGTTGAGAGACAGCTGGGCTACATGTTGCCTGAGTGATTCATCTGAACACACGGGGCTTAAGTTACTTTACTAGTAATGTCGTCATATAATCTGTAAAATGGACTTGATAGTGAACAAGCCTCGAGGATTCACGGTACCACCAAATCATCGCTTTGGACAGAAGGCAGGTTATTTAATTAAACTCAGGAAGTTCTAACTAATGCAAAAGTAGAGATGCTCTTTGTCAAGATCACAGAATTGATAAGCTGGATATACCCCAAGGAGGTTCAAAACACAACTTTAAACAGAAACTTGAGCTCAGTTTAGTGGCGGTAGTGCCTCTGTGCGCCTGTGTGCGTGTGATTGAAAGCCTCTCTTTAATCAGAGGCCTGACACAGTGCGAGGGGGACTCGCCTGGTTCCACTTGTTGTTCGCGGGTTAATGGAAAAGATTTCTAAAGATTTATTGAGGGGGCGTTTAATGACCTGATCGGTTTCACCGTGGGGGGGGGGGGGGGCTCAGTTTGCCAAAATTAATGACCAAGAATTGGTGTTTATAGGTGGTTTTGCTTCTGACACACTTCAAACTGCCGATATAATCAGTTAAGGATATGTCTTTCTCTCAGATTACACCGGGACACGTTGAGGAAGTTCAACCCTCAAACTTTTAGCTTTCCTTTAAGAAACACTGAAATAAAGTTCAACCACTTGTTCGACAATTTAACATGACAAAATATACTGAACTCTGATTATGTGGCAGCAAATTAACGTTGTCATATGAGATAATGACTCAGGCCATTTTTCGTTTGCTGCTCGACTTTATCTCTATTTACAGTCGCACTTAACTTTCAACTTCTGCTTATCATTTTTTCCACATACATCCGTAATGTGCACAGTCTGCACCGATCGTGTGCAGTCAGATAGTTTGCAAAAAAAAAAACAAACCAAGATGCAAAAGTTGATTTTATTTGCTTTTCACAGGTTATTATAGGTTAATTACAAAAACGAAACCAATATTGTAACTAAGAGTAATTGTTGTGCTGCAGAAAGTTTCAAATAATTTTGCAACCAAACTGGATCAAAAGAAAACGAGACAAACATTTGAGGATATAAGAAAAACACGTGACCCAGCAGGACACTGGCGGTTTCATAAAATCCAAAGGTTTGTACCGTGAGAAAACAAAATAGGCGTGTTTCTCAAACCAATGCAACATATAAACCATGTGCAAAAACGTCTTCAAGAGCATAATGCAAAATCAGTCCCCTTTTATTTGCAGACTGTGCTTTGGATTTAGGCTGCTTTTACATCTTTCGCTCCATTCACGTATGGCTTGCTGGATATTATTAAAAACAGTGAGCAGAATCTTGTTTATTCCTAAGGCAACAATATACAAATTATGGAGTGAAAAATAAACTGATTGTAGCTGAAAAGCAGAAAGATGAGCAATTGTATCTTGAAATGAAACTCATCAAATCAAATAATAAGCCAACTTCTTTGCTGAAACCTGGAGAGATCTGAATCAAATTAAAAGGAAATTAGACCTGCAACCATCAGCCACAGTTGTCTCATTACAGCAGAAAGATAATCCACAAAAGCCTTAAACCATGCACACAGTGGGCAGGAGAGGCAGGATTTCACAGTGTAGAAGTTTAACAATGGTAACTATTTCAGTCCAAAAAGAATACATTTAAGTGTTTAAGTTATAAGATTTAGTATCCGGTTTGAGTTTTGCTAATGTCAAAACACATTAGAAATGTAGCCCATTAAGCCTTGAGTGGTTTAAAAAAGACAGCAGCATTATGGAAACAAACGATCACGTTTATGTCTCATAGTCAGTCAGGTTATGTGCAGCTGAGCAGGGAGCTGACTTTGTCACTTCTAAGTAGGCAAGAAGAAGTGGTGGAAGGAAAAAGGGGAAAGAACAGATATGATGCATTTCTCCAACATCTAAGGAAATATCACTCAGGCTTTGAATAATATTGAAATCTTGGGTTTCCTGACATGTGTAAGGTGATATATTGAGGCTTTATGAGTGTTGTGGGCTGACTTCTGGCTCCTGTTAAAATGAGATATCCCTCAAACCTATTTTGATGCTTGACTTTAAGCAATTTTAAATATGCCCAGTGTCCTGGATTTCCCATATTCAGCACAAGTTGTGTTTGTTTTATTTGTTTCATCACATTCAATCATCTGGAGACATCAATTTCAAGGGTATAAAATTGAAAAGAAAAAAAAAAAGAAAAAAGCTATAATAAACACAGAGAGCTGGATTTTCCATAGCTTTGCAAATCAAACACAGACATATTTTAAAGTAAACACAGTTATGAGAAGCATTGACTTAATATTAAAAATCAAACGGTGTGAATGCGTGTATGCAACACTGCATTCAAATTTACCTTAAAGCTGAGAAGAGAAAAAAAAAAAAGATCTCTTATTATAAGAACTGCAATCCCAGGAATATATTGCAGGTGTTAGAACCACATTTTACACAAAGCTGAATGAGTAAAGTCAGGTTTAAAAGCCGACTGCATGCGCAGAGGAGTTAGAGAATGAAGAAGCGATCATAAAAACAAACAGCCTTTGTTAAAACAAATGGTCACCAGTTAAAAGTGTGTTCACTCTTAGTAAAAACATTTGTGGTGGGTATGGGATGAAAAAAATTAAGGTGAGCAATTAGCCAGGTTGAAGTCAAACCTTAGCAGAATATTTCACATATGAGCTAATTTCAAATAAGCAGTCCAGGCTTTCGAACCAGAAGGGACGAGGGAAAGCAGGGAGAGACTGAGTAGTGCAGACTGGAGGGCAGGAAGGGCATTAGCTCAGTTTAGGCTGATGTCAGGACAATTAGAGGTGCACCACAGTGCACTGTGCACAGTGCACAGTGCCTGTCAGCCTTAATCTCTCCTGCAGTGGCCCGTACCTGCAGTCAGGCCCCTGAGAAGCACTAACACTGAGACCCATATTGCTTTGACAGTTGCACTCATCTAGAAGTAATGTAAAATGTTATTTTGATGTATACACGGTGACCCCATACTCTTGTCTCTTACAACAATGAGGCTGTGTGTGTGCAGAGCCAGGGAGGGCTGGACGGGAGAAATGATACTCGGGGAGAAGGGTGAACAAGGAAAGATGGAGGGAGGTTACACAGGGGCAGAAAGAAACAAGAAAAAAATGCAATCTAGAACCTTAGCCTTCCTTTCTACATTTGTTCCAAGTCATCTTGTAGGTCCTCTACAAATCTTGGTGTTTGTTTTTGAGGGAGCTGCTGCGGGTGGTGACAGTGTTGGAGATCTCCTCTGCTTCCTCGCCCTCTTTTGCCTCCAGGACCTCACTGAAGAACCTGAAGATGGATTTGAAACTCATCCAGGAGGTCAGCTCATGTCTCTCTGTGCCTGCATGTAAAACACATACACACACACACAAACACACACACAAAGGTATGAACAGGGTTCAAAAATATCTTTTACTGTAAAGCTGCAGGCAAAATAAGTGCATGTGGATATCATTAAAATGTAGCTCTACATCCTACACACCTAGTGTGACATGAATGAACAGCAGTAGATAAGATGTTCAGTCTCTTAAGGCTCACCTCTCCCATAATGCACTGTATCACCCCTTAAGCATGAGAGCCATGACAGCCTATGACCCATTAGTCCAATGGGACGGCCCTAATATGTTATCCAAGTGGATACCTGATAATCAACACCACAGCACGTCCTTCTTCCTCGTCGGGCCTTCCAACAAACCCAGGGTTATGCACAATGGGTGCACTAAGTGAAACCAGTGGAGCGGTAGTCATTCATTTTAAAGGGCTGATTGAGACTGGAGAGAAGTAACTTGCAAACATATCAGGTGGTCTGGCAATGGCGGGGGGAGGCAGCAGTGCTGGGTTTCCTTCTGACCTCCTCCAGGTTAGCCAGTTCCCAAGTTGGGTTCATACTGGAGCTTGAAATCTGGTACATGTGCCTCAGGTTCCTTAGGGTTAGGGTATCACAGGCCAGCATATTGGCTGGATAGCTTGCAAACACGGCGGCAGCTATTTCTGCTACAGAACACCTCGGCTCTGCATCAGAGAACTGATGAGGAGGACAGCTCATGGCTGCAGCTGCTGCCCAACTCTTATCAGCTTACTAACCATTCAGCAATAACACATAATGGCTTTTCC